CCGATCAACTGCCCCCTGGTGGTCAGTGCACGTCATAGCGAGCGGTTGAGTTGCCTTAGCATATCATTAGCATATTATGCTTTGATTGGTTGAACAGACGACTGGTTCTGAACAGACGATTGTTTGAACAGACACTTAACATATTAGGCTTTTATTATGTAGGATAGTCACCGAGCTGTACAGACAGATGGATGGATGCATGAATACATGAATAAATGTTTGGAGGATGGATAGGTGGGTGGATGGGGGGATGGGTGGAGGGAGGGATAAATGTTTGGAGGATGGATGGATGGATGGATACACGAATAAATGTTTGGAGGATGGATAGGTGGGTGGATGGATGGATGTTTGGTGAATGGTGGATGGATGGATGGATGGATGGATGGATGGATAAGTGTTTGGAGGATGGATGGATGGATGAATACACGAATAAATGTTTGGAGGATGGGTAGGTGGATGGATGGATGGATGTTTGGTGAATGGTGGATGGATAGATGGATGGATAAGTATTTGAAGGATGGATGGATGGATGAATACACGAATAAATGTTTGGAGGATGGGTGGCTGGAGGAAGGGAGGGATAAATGTTTGGTGGATGGATGAGTAGATGGATGAATACACGAATAAATGTTTGGAGGATGGGTAGGTGGGTGGATGGGTGGATGGATGGAGGGACGGATAAATGTTTGGAGGATGGATGAGTAGATGGATGATGAATGCATGAATGAAAGATGTTGTCTCCATTTTAATGTACAATAGGAGTCTTTTGCCTAACAACCAAAGAGGCCTAAATAGCTCCTCAAAATTCTCCCCTTTCCCTTCACCCCAGGAGCCTGGGCCTGACTGTGGATTTGGTGTTTCCCATACCCATGTGCCCTGAGCTTCCACGCTTCAGGCTCTCCCCAGTTTCAGGCCCGCTGTGAAGCTGCTCTCTACGAGCCCTGGTGAGGATGGGCTCTACACTCCCCTGGTGATGCTGGCAGCTGCCCATACCATCCCAAACTCCTGTATGCCATTGGCTTTGCAAACACCTTCCCGGGGGCACAGACCTGTCTCCCTTAGAGCATGGTACACAGCGATGCTGCTATTTCATCTGCTCGCGAAGGCCGACCCCAGGTACTTTGCTGCTCAACTTTGAGAGAAGCAAAAGGCCGCTTGCTCCTCCCAACCCTGCATTAAGAACACGGCCGTGACATGCCTCTTGGAGGTGCTGGTGATTGGCATCTCCTGCCTGAGCCCAGCGCCCAACCCTCTGCCCACACCCGGGAAGACGGGGAGCGCCTTTGGAGGACACAACGGCTTATGAGCTTACTGGTCTGTATAAGGGCCACGGGAGCCGGCTCTGCAATCCACCATGATGCAGGGAGGCACTGCAGTCAAGGGCACGTCTCTAATCTCCCACTTGATTCTCCCAGCCTCACGGGCAGCACACTCCCAGCTGCAGAGTCCGGAGGCCGAGCCAGCCCCCTCTTTCCTATGCAGGTCACAGCACTGCCCACTAACCTTAAGTCTTCCTTCCCAGGCCCGTCACGTCATCCCGTGAGGTCCTCATGTTTGGGGGAATCAAATCGCCTCCGCAAGTCCTTGTTTGCTGAGAGGGGGCCAAGGGGCAGCGAGTTCCCACGAGCAGCCGGAGCCCCCACGGGGAGGGAAGGGCTTCCATGGACACGGGAGTCAGTTCTGTTTCAGCCCAGCCTCAGGTTGGATTTACTGCGGCAAGCACCCGGGTGCTTCTGGTGGGCTCTGCCCGGTTCCTTGTATGCGGACGTGGTCTAGGTGAAAAGTCCTGGCTCCATTCTCCTGGAGCTTTAGGCTGACATGGGAAGAAGGCAGGCAAGTTCCCGTTCCACAGGGCTGGAGCTGAGCACGGAACCCTGAGCTGGGGGCTGCAGGAGGGGCCAGCTGCCCCGGACTGCCTTGGTTCTGCTTCAAGAGGAACACGTGGACTGCTAAGCCAGGCCTGAAAAGAAAGTTTTTTAAAGAAAAACTAAATAACAGGAATCTTAGACACACTGGCTTCTTCTACACCACGAAGAATTAACTGCCAAGAGAACTAACATTCTTGCCAAATAGGTAGAAAATCCAACAAAATATATGGAAATCTGTATTCAAATATTGGACAACAGGTAGCAGGTAAGTGACCCTGGAGAGAGGAGAAAGCGGGCGTGAGCCCTGGCATTGGCCTACAGCCCGAGGCGGGTCCCAGGAAGCTGTCAGGAGGGTCGCAGACCCTCACTTCTCTCTGAGAGGTCCCGGCCGGCAGCTCAAATGTACAGACAGAGTCTGGAGGGTCTCCCCAGGAGCAGAGGAGGGACCCTGAGCCCTTGGCTGGGCAGCAACTGCACGCGTGTGGGTGAAACCCCACAGGCCAGGAAAGGAGCCACTGGAAAGCAGGAGAGCCGCTGGGCTGCACCAACACGCATGCCTGCAGTCCCGCTGCCTCACACAGAGAAAGGCTCACTCTCAGCCATGCTGAGCGGTGGTGTTCGCCAGGGCTCTGCTGTGTGCCATCGATCCCCTGGTCCACCCTGAAAAAGGCACCATCTCCCAATCCTGTCGTCGTTGAGCACTGGGAGGATTTCACCACCAAAGCACGTGGAATTTTCAGGGGCAGGAAATGTCACCCACCACGTGCCCGGGAGGCAGGGCACAGAGGTTGGTGAACCACACAGAGGCCCACCCCCAAGTGTTCTCCCCTCTCCCCTTGGTGACAGGGCCAGGTCCTGACTCCAGCACTTGGCCAGGTGCCTTCCTACCAGGTGGGGTGCCTGCTCCTACCAGGTTAGCTGAGGGGACCACAGGGATCACGGGGACAGCCTGGACGCAGGAAGCACTTAGCAAATGTTGGCTGTTATTGCTTCTCCCTTGAGGGCTGCCCTGCACCTGCCCAGCTCCCAGCCCTGACGGCCACCTTTTCACTCAGCAGTCATTTAGGGAAAAGCTAGTGACACTGGTAATGTCTGTATGCTGCCCATTCTGAGAAGCAGTGTCTCCCACGGGCGTGCTTGACCAGAGATCCAAAGTGTCTGAGGGCACCCCTGCCTCAGTTTCCCAAGCCCGGCACTCCCAAGTGCGGGTGAGGTTGGCTGCACTGGGGCAGCCTCCCTGCTCACCAGGTCTCAGGGCCAACCTAGCTTTCCCACTAAGGCATTCCTTCTAACCATTTTAAACCAGGTGGGAGAACTGGAGATAAATAGAGGGGGGCGGAGGGGGATCCTAAAGAGGCGCGGTTCCACCTCCCACTCAGGTGCTGGCTCAGCTCCCGGGCTTAGCAAACATCCAAGGGAAGCCCAGGGGAGGCCCCACATGCCTTCAGCTCCTGCCTGCAAACTTCCTATTAAAGGTGCTCAGACTGGTTCCCACGGCCGCTCTGTATTTCACATTTCCCTCTCCTTCGCATGGGTCCCAACACCTATAAATATTCAAGCCTTTACTCACTCCTTGACATTTCAAAATGGACCCGAAAGCAATTACTTCACACAGTAAATTCAGGTGATAGGAGGGTATCAGGAGGGACCAGCCGCCGGCCTCCCTGTAGTTATACAGACAGAGGGAGCTGGGGCACAGGGTGCGGCGCACGAGGGGGCAAGGTCCCCAGCCGATCAGGACAGCGGATGGGAACTGCCTGCTCTTCCTGAGTGGGGCCTTCCAGATACGCATTCACGGCAGCTCACACATCCCCACCTTTTTCACGATTTCTGATAGAAGTGGCTGCAGTGATAGCAATTTTTTTAGTCCTTCACCTGAAAAGGGTGGTTCATAGTATTTCTTTCTTTTTTTCTTAAAGGAAAAAGGAAAAAAAAGACAATGCCTGTAGATCTAGTCACAGGAGTGTAACACTTTGAAAAGTATCCCAAGAAATGTAAGATATTGAAAAGACCCTTCCGCCCCTTTTTAAAACATGCTCTCAGTTTTAGGAAATCGTGCCTTTGGGATGAAGTGGGCACGTGACACTGTGGGTGATGTGCCTGCAACCCTGGAGGTGAGAATACCACTGAGGACATCAAAGAAGAAAAACTATTTTCCAAGCTGGCTGGCAGGAGGTGGCTCGTATGCTCCATATGCAATTGGACGTTTATGCTCAGGAGAACTCCATGATTTTAGAATGTTCTAGGGTGTTAATGCAGCAGACTTGGTTCAGCATGCGGCACAAGAGGTGGCCTCCTCCTTCTGGCTAGCGTGGTCCTGGTCTTATTACACGTCCCGCCCATGGGACTGGCCTGGTTTCATTCTGTCCATAAAAACCAAGGGACAAGGGGAGTGTCAGAAATCAGGCACCATGGCCCCAGTCTCAGATCACCTGTCCTTCCCTGCCCCTAAGTGTCCCGTCTGTAGGAGGAGGTGACGGACAAAGTCTCTAAAGTCCCCCAGCTCTGAGGGGCTCTGTGTCTACTGATGTCCCTGTTCAATACGAGAGTCACAGGGTATTTGAGTCAGACGTTGGTTCTGGTCCAGGCTGCCTGGCTCATCACCGTGTGACCTAGTACCGACTTCACCTTGACGGTGAGATGGGTGAAGGTCACATGAGGATGGACTGATGGGTGGTATGTCTGGGCTGAGGTCATCCAGCTGGCCCCACTGTTAGGTGCGTTTGGAAGCTGAAGGGGTTTCAGAAGGGTTCATCTCAAGGTCAGATCACCCCAGAAGCAGACCCCAGACGAGGATTTGAAGACAGTGAGCTGTGACCCAGAGATGGAGGAGCCCTACACGGGCACAGTCCTGCAGAGGCCTCTCTCCCAGCCGCATCCCTGGGCCCCAGGCGGTCACTACGATTAGTGCCGCCCTGACACACTTCCTAATTGCCGCTGCTGGTATACGGAAATGCTACTTATTGAAAACAATCTGGACAACCTGTAGAACCAGAGAGTTCAACTTGTTGTGTGTGGTTTTAATGGATTTTCATTAAGTCCTCGTGCGTGTTCCCAGGTGCTCAATCACACTGCCTGCTACGTTGGTTTTCTCCTGCTCAATAGGACCCATTTTTCTGTTCCCTGCCCTACCCCATGGGCTGTAATGTACATCTGTAAGGTTAGTTTGGTGAAAACTGTATTGGTTTTTGAGCAGCTGCAGGGAGGACGGATTTGAGTAGAGAGAAGCTGGAAACAGATATGACGGCCATAGAGCTTTGCAGCCAGTTAGGACCCGGGGCCTGGAGCAGGGGATGGCACAGAGACGGAGGGGTACGTGTGAGCCAGGGCATGGCATGGATGGGCAACAAACACCCTGCAGACGCCAGACCTGAAGCGCAGATCTAATTGGCATCAACCAGCAAGTGGCACCACCATCAAATGGCTGTTTCACGGTCGTCGGTCAACTCAAGTGAAAAATGTGGGAAAAGAGATTAATTAGCATTCCCCACTTACAATCAGTTTTTGCAGAATATGGACTCAAATCAAATTAACAGCTGTTTCAATTTCTCCTGTACCTCCATGGTCTGACTGCTAATCAAACCCCATCCAGACTCCACTGTGGTCATTGAATTACACGATGGTACTGCAGTTGGCATAGCGACGCTACGCGGATGGTCTCAGCCACTTGTCACGGAAGCCACCATCTCAGGTCAGAGGCTCTCGGGAAGTCTGTGGGGGCTGGGGATCCCCTCCTTCTCTGGCAGCTCTGAAGTGTGACTTTCCCTCCTCGTGCCGAGAGGGACCACAAGGCCAGCCACAGAGGGACACCCCAGGATGGTGAGGGGCCACCAAAAGGCCAAGAGCGACTCTTATATGGTCTGTACCATCAGCTTGTCCAGGAAAGAGCAGAGGCGCCCTGAGCTGCTGACCCCGGGACCCTGGGATCGCCACACCCAATCCCTGTTAGAAGCAGTGGCAGGCACACCAGTGGCCTTTCTTGTCTGAATCCATGGCAGACCTGGGCCCACTGCTGGCAGCAACCCTCCCTCCCAGGTAGAGAGAGACCAATCACTCCAAACGGCACCCCCAAATGATGAAGCTCAGTCACCCAGGCAGCTGGAGCTCTGGCTCCCGGGAGAGCGGGGCACCGACTCCCCACTGAAATAGTACGCTAGTGACTCGAGCTGGAGGCTGGTGGGAAATACCTCTGGGCGTCTCCCTCCCGTTTCCAAACACAATGCCAGGCACAGATGTAGCTACCATTGCCTCCATGACAGTCTCATCACAGGTGTCCCACTCCCAGTGATCAAATTCCTGGGAAATATGCCTGGAATTTGGCCTGGTTGACAATGCACAGAATACAAATATCCCTTCACGACAGTATGTCACCGTTCAGATGGGTCAAAACCATAGCTAATCATCGCAGATAAGTGAACTGTCAAATTGAAAGTTATTACTGGAAAAAATATGCCGGATACGCCACGCAAAATGTTAAAGTACACCCTGCCTTCCACGTTCACGCTACCAATTCTAGAAATAATACAATTACACTTTTCCTGAAGGAGGAACGCTTGGGAGAGGCAAATGGGCACCTCTCACAGCCACCCGGCCCTCCCCCGCATTAAGCCTTCCTCCCCCCACGACTGATAGGCTGGTAACTGCCTGCGGTGACAGGCGGCGAATGAAGAGAATCTGTCTTACTCGGGAGCCCACAGCTGTGGGCTTGCCGCACCTCTGACTGGTGCAGGAGTTTACTGTATTCACACCCCATCTGGCTAAGTGTCGCTGCCAATGTGGGGCCAGCTCTCCAAAGGGCTGCTGTGGGCTCAGACACGCCACAAACACATGCCCCTCCACATACACATGCACACACACACTTTACACGCTACATGCATACATATCCCATATACACAAACACACGCCCACGCACTTTACATACTACGTGCACATACCACATAAACATGCACGTGTTCTACACACTACCTGCATACACACCGCATCTACTCATACACATGCACACTTTACACACTACATGCATACACAGCACATATACTAGTGCACATACACACGCACACTGGACACACACTACACATAAGCCACAGACACACAT